ACCTATGGAGGACCAAACCTGCAGAAATTAAAAATAAATAAATAAGCAAATATATAAATAAATGTGTGTATAAATACACGTATTCTTGTTTAAATACATATATAAATAATTAAACGTGTGATTAAAGTAGGCAAATAAATAAAATAAATTGGTGGGCAAATGGAAAATGTTTAAGGAAATGCTAAACTCATCCTATTTATTTTCCTTTGATCACTCATTTATTTCTGAATGTAGTTCCGCATTTATTTTTCCTCTGCGCAACATGCTAATGAGAGGGTGTCAACCATGGACTTGGTCGGGGTCATGTCATAGCTGGGGGCGCAGCTTTCCCCGCTGACAGGAAATGCATAGTGTTAATCCAGTATGACCTACGTAAAGTCACTTTTTCCGTTCAACAGAGCAAGATACATAAAAAACTGAGCTGTATTGTCCGTACAGTATCTGTGACTTTAATCTTTTATGATTTAGCTCTCTCATGATTATAACTACAAAACTAGCCTTATGAAAAAGTGTAAGATAATAATCAGTCCCCTTGACTGATGAAGTTAATACGCATGCGCAGGCAAACGCTCAAGCGCGTCACACACGATCCGCCTAGTCTTGCATAACTGACACCCTCTCATTAGCATGTTGCGCAGAGGGGAAAAAAAAGTGGAATTACAATCAGAAATAAATGAGTGATCAAAGGAAAATAGTTAGGATGAGTTTAGCATTTCCTTGAACATTTTCCATTTGCCCACCAATTTATTTTATTTATTTGACTACTTTAATCAGTAAACGGTCTTCTACAACCAAGTCGATCTGCAGCAATCTCTCTATCTTTACGGTGGGAGAACCAAATTAGTGACATACGCAAGGGTACATCTCAGTTGATTCTCAATTTATTATTGTACAAACAGAGGCTCATATACATCCGTGAGAACTGGTATGAAGTGGTTTAATCGAGGAACAGACCGTTTGTTTCCCCATTAGTTTTCAGAACAGAAAATACAGGTGACAAAAGTATGTTTATTATTCCTTCAGAACTTAGGAAATTATTAGAAAATGATATAGTCGAAAAATCAAATTTAGATTTCGGTGTTAAACTGGAAGGTATAACGTAAATATAAAAGAACAAAAATGTAATAATAATTATCTTAGAACGATTTGCCAAATTTCCAGTGTTCCTTTAGCCATTGGTTTTTGGAGATCACAATTTCAAGATGTCAACTGGAAAGAACCCTTTAAGATCTCCAGACGTTTTTGTATCACAAATAAAATTAGAGAAGTATCATACAAGGTTGTTCATCGTATTTATCCTGTAAAACAGGTAATTGCAAAGTTTTGTAAATACATTGGCTTGAAGTGTGTTTTCTGTAAAGAGGAGAATGAGAGTATTGTTCATTTATTTTATGATCGTATTTATACAAAATTATTTTGGTGTGATTTTTTTTTTTGTTAAAGTATTAATATTGAATTGCAACTCAAAGAAAAGGATGTTTTATTTTTTTATGAGTATACTGTTGACTTCAAGATTTAATTTCAAAATAGAAATACCTGTATACGTTAAAAGAAACAAGAAATAACAAAGCAAAAAAACTGTAAATTACTTTAAAGCCTTAAATTTATTCTTTGAATAATTTGTAATTATTTGTACTTGTTTACAGACGTGAGATTTATTTTATTGCTTTTCTTATTTAATTTTTATTTATTTATTTTAAGTATTTGTTTTCATTCAGTTTAAATGTTATCGCCCTTATATGTTCTTTGTTCTAAAAACTAAAATAATAAAAAAAAAAAAAGTCAGCTGCCTAAGTTTTCGGATGCAGCCGTGTGTATACACACTTCACGCTTCCTGCATTTACATTGTTCAATAAAGTAAAAAAAAAAAAACTTCACGCTTCATGCGGCGCTCTCTGATGACGTCACGGTAAAGTTACAGCGTTGGACAGACATGGCAGCTTTATAGACCTATAGCTTTGACATCCAACCTATGCAAGCTCATGGAACGGATGGTCATGAATAGATTGATATTTGTAATTGAGAGTAGGAATATTTTTTCAGCATAACAAAGTGGGTTTCGAAAGGGGCGTAGTATTATGGACTCTATAGTTTATCCGGAAAATGAAATAAGAAAGGCTCAAATTAAGAAGGAGGTATTAGTAGGAGTCTTTTTTGACGTAGAAAAGGCATATGATATGCTGTGGAAAGAGGGGTTATTAATGAAATTAGAAAGTCTGGGAATTAATGGAAGAATGTACAATTGGATTTTAAATTTCTTGTTTGGAAGAACAATTCAAGTTAGAGTGGGAACAAAGTATTCTAGAATATATTCGATAGAGAATGGAACTCCGCAAGGAAGTGTTGCCAAAACCGCCAATAAACATCAGAAGAAGAAGAAGACATGGCAGCTTCCATATCACAGCAGCTCGAGGATTTGTTAAATCCTTTACCAAACTTTGTGGATCCAGAGGACGACCAAGATGAAAGTATTATACATTAAAATCATATCCGTTTATCTAATGTGTTGCAAACCATTTTAGCGTTATTATAATAGAAAATCTGTCACCTCTAACGTAAGCATGATATGTCGGCATGCCCGTCTGTACTGAGAAGCAGCTTTACTTTACACTTATTATTTAAGACCAGTAACTCATGACATTTAATATAAGCTAGTAATACTTATGATTGCCATAATAACAACAAGGATACATGTTCTTTTGTTTTCACACAATAGGCTAATTTCTGTTAGAATTTTTTCTTAAGTTACTTAACGTTACCTTATTTTAAGCTTTCACGAAAAGAATGTGCTGTGGTAGTACCGTGTTATTCTTGTAAATATTATGGTACAGTATCAGAATATGGTATTCAGTTACATGGTATTAGCATATGATACCGTAACTGTACCATGAAACTAACACACACACACACACACACACACACACATTACGTTTTATATTACTTAATACTGCATACAAAAAATTATTTTAAATGATTTCCAGGTCATTTTTGGCTTATTTAAAGGGCATTTTCCCCTAACCGTATTAAATGCATGCATCATCTTTCATATCAAATTCTTACATTTTATTAATAATTTCACTTAGTATAATAAGACAATATTGGGCTGTTACCAATCAAATGAAATCAGTATCTACAAAACCGATCTTTCCACTGCAGAAGAAACAAAAGTGACCGGAGTGGCAATCAGATGCATTTACACAGACAGTTCAATGTAGCTGAAATATAGCACGAATGCATTTACACTGCAAAATTATGACTGCATAATGTTGTGAACATGGTGTTTTAAAATACAGATATGAAATGTTGGAAAAAATGCAAAGATGAGCTACTATGAAAGTAAACCGCCAGTAGGTGGCAGCAGGTGACTGTCTTAATTAATGAGTCATTGAAGCATCCCTTCAACGATTCGTTCAGACGGCTGATTCATTCAAGAAAGGAGCCAGTGCCTCCTTGCGTCCCAATGTGCATACTATCCACCCTCTGCCCTAAATAGTATTGAAAATTACTATTATCACATTGAATTTAGGATGGATAGTATGCATATCGGGACGCAGGCCCTGTCTTTATGAATGGACCACTGAATCATTGAATCATTACTGCTGTGATCTTTGTTCGAAACTATTTTCATTAACCAAATCGAGCAAAAACAGTCAACGTTGACAATGTAGCCTTTCAAATAAATTCTAATTAAAATATTGAACAAAAAGGTATATTAACTAGGCCTACTCGTTTTAACTCTTGTTTAAAATGTCAAATTTGCAATCGTGGTTTTCAGGGAAAACTACACTCTCTTGGTCGTGTCATGTTGCTTAACTAGGCTGTATGTTATAAATATAAAAACTACGTTACATTTTTATGTTTCTTCTGTGTGCAGTTGCATTTGTTTTAATTTCTCCACGAGATTGTTTTCACATACAGACAGGCTGCGTGAGCCTCAACTGGCGCGACCTTAGTCAATTGCCATTTACCGAATGTAATAAAATCAGAATAATTTTTGCTGAAATTTCGGTGCTTCCCTAATTAGATGTTTTAATCAGATTGGTTGTCTGGTCGAACAAGTAAAATTATCTTCTTTCACTTGCCCCTTCAAAAAAAATCCACTTGTCTCACACAAGCATTAATGTTGAGCTCTGTTACTGTATATAGCATTCAACCCGCCAAAGTGGCTAGTGGGAGTGACTGTATTACCCGCCGCTACTGAAATCCACCCGCATTTGGCGGGTTGGCGGGTGTTAATATCAAGCCCTGTATGCGTGTGTGTATATAGATATATATATATAAAGAGAAATATTTATGAATCTATTTTTTTTTTCCTATTTTGTGACGAAAGCTATTAATAAGAAACAAACAGAAAAACAAGTCTTTTTTGGTGGAACACTGCCATGTTATTCTGAAGGGAAGTGTTTATTTTCTTGGAAGTAGACTATTGGTAGTATACTAACAGTAAGAACAGTAATGAATCACCGCAACACTTTGATCAGAATGTGATCGGTGCGCATGTCAGTATTGTGATCTACCTCAGGCGTCAGGGTACCTCAGTCCAATATTAAATTTCCCTTTTTTTCTCCCCACATTTTGTATGCCTTGTAAACTGAAAGTTTTGAACGTTTTCTTTTTATTAATAATAAAAGAGATCAAGAAAAGTCTTCAGGTCCATCTGGCAAAAACAAATGGATCTTAAAGCTTTCAAAACTGAATGCGAATTCAGAGACAATGAATATCAAGGAGAATGGCTTAATTCAAAGCATTCTCCAGGAGCAACTACGTGGTCCGAAGCATCCAAATTCAGGAGTTACAGTCAGACCAAAATATAAGAACAATAGTTTATAACAAATATCTTGTGTATTAGAGCAAGGCCTGCTGATAATTATAGTATATTTTTATGACAACTGTGAAAGGCATTTTATGAATTTTATGTATTTTATGAAGTTTATGTATAGTTATTGTCTGGTGATATAGTCAAAATCTTTATCTTACATGCTGGTTTCACTAACTGTTGATATGATTATGTGACTGTATGACTGTAAATGTCCATGTGTACTTAGCTTAACTAAACAACAATACATAATTTTTGTGAACTGCAGAGACGAAAGCCAAAGTCATAGAGAAGTTTGATGAAGGTGGTGATGATGATGACGAAGAACCTTTATCTGGCCATCTGCGGAAGCGCTCTTCTGTAATTCTGGCTGATGGTGATCGTCGATATTTTGGCAAGGCTACATCCAGAAAAGATCTACAGAAAGAGTTGGATGGATCAGGTGGGGTGAAAATGTCTGATTGTTTAAAAAATGAATGAAGTCGTTGAATAAAAGGACTGACGTTTTGAAAACCCAACATTGTATACACTTTTTGAAAAAAATCAACTAACTTGTAATCTGTGCATTAAAAGCTTGGTTTGATTAACTAACATCTATATGAACATTTTCAGCAGATGATGATGATGATGATGATGAAGAAAATGGAATGCTGGACAAGTACATGGAGTGCATCAAAGATGATGTGGAGGAGGACGAGGAGGAGGATGAAGACGACATTGATGACGATGAAGATGATGATGAGGATGAAAAAGAACAAGGCGATGATGAGGAGGATCCTAATGGAGATGATAGCTCACAGATGTCCAGCTTAGTCTCTAAAATGAAGGGCACAGACTTTATGAAACTCACAGAGGGAATGGATGACCTGGGAGAAAGTGAGGAAGACAAAGAATCAGCTGACAGTGAAGGAGAGCGTGAGGAAGGCTCTGAGGATGAGGAGGAAGATGAAGAGGAGGAAACAGCCCTGAGGACCTTCTCTAAAGAGAAAGTTGATGAAGAGGTTGAAAAAGGGAAAGCAGTGAAAAATCAGCTTGGTATGAATATTTGCCCACATTCAGATGTGCGCTCTACAACAAATAAACGAATAAATAACAAGAATACATTTATGGAAATCTATTATAAAACAAATAGAAACTACCAAAAAAATTTAACTCAACTGTATGCTGTTTTCAAATCTACACAGCTCTTTGGGACCAGATGCTTGAAAGGCGAATCAAAATGCAGAAAGCTCTTGTGACAGCCAATCAGCTTCCACAGCCACAGACATTCCCAGAGTTCAAGAGCAGGGGAGGGACTGAGTATGCTGAAGCTTTAAAAAATAGTAAGTGAATACAATGAAAAATACATGATATTTTCTACTTCTGACCATAAAGTTGTTCTATTGTTCAGTGTTTTGGAAGATTTTGTGGTCCATAAAGTCAAATGATGACTTTAAAGATATTTTTAAAGAAAGTAATACTTTTATTCAGCAATGTTGCATTAAATTGATCAAAAGTGTCAGTAAAGACTTGAGAAATATTTCAAATTAATGCTGTTCTTTGTCTGAGAATGTTAGTTTCTGCAAAAGTAGTAAGCAGCACAACCATTGATGATAATATGAAAATGAGCATAAAGTGTATATGAATGATTTCTGAAGACACCGAAGACTAGAGTAAAATTCATGGTAAAAAAATCACAGTGTTTGGTGAACATGCAAGACATTTTTTTTCAATCTTACTGACCCCAAACTTTTGAATGGTAATGCATATTCTGGAGTTCTTCTAAAGATGGCTCAAGCAGACATGGATAAGGCATGAAACTTATTTTTAATTCTCCCATGCTGTGTCTTCTCTTGAGTTAATTGAGGAATCATATGAGCATGCAGTTAAATTTCTACCTTTTTCATTGTTTAAACCTTACATCTTCTGTGCAGTCAACAACCAGCCCCAACATCACGTGTGGCTTTAATATCAGGATTCTTCTGGCTCTGAGCAATTAATATATTTGTGCACCTTCATTCTTAAGCAGATCTGGCTGCTTAGAGAGACTGCCTGCTTCTCATTTGCATATTTATTGCACTGGTCCTTTAGCCAGTGAATGATTGATGTGGGGCCATCCTCCTGAATTCTGAACAGCGCGTTGCTTTGGGATGGAAGGAGAGGTGCATGTGTACTTTTGATTAGCAGTAAAGATGGCACAATCTCTGTCTGCATCCCCCTCCCCCTCAGTCTTTTTATTTATTTGGTTCTCATTATGTAAAATGAATTGTAGCATAGGCTTGGTTGTGCTAGCCCTGCTTCGCATGTTGGCTCTGCAGGAATACTAGGAGGCATGTTTTCTTCAAAATATTTAAAACATGGTTCACTAGGTTTGACTGTTGCTGACAGAAAAAAAGGTTTTGTTTTGCTTTGTTTTTGTGTGTGTGTGTGTTTTGCTTTGCTTTGTTTTGTTTTTGTAGTTATGCTTTCTAGGTAAAGCTTGGCTTGTGGGTTGTTGCCAGGGCATTGCTATACAATTGCTAAGATGTTTTGAGTGGTTTTTAGTGCTTATTTTTTTGATTGCGTGTGGCTTCTAGGGTGTTCTGGGTAGTTGCTTACTGGCCAAAGTCAAAAGAGATGACCATTTAGTCTCTACACTCTCAGAAAAAAGGTACAAACTAGAGTGGTACCCTAGGGTACAAAAGCTAAAAAGTACATATTAGTACCTTTTGAAAGGGTACCATCCCAGTGACAGCACCTTTTTCTGAGAGTGTATGATACTTTGGTCTGTAGAAATGGAACTGGTTCCTCCAACTGAAATCTGTGGAATTTTAGTTTTATCATAAGGCTGAAAATCTTAAGTCTGGTAGTTTAGAGAAATTATAGCATACCTCTCCTAAACCACAAATGGCCAACTTCTACATGTCCCTTAAAGCATTTTAAAATCAAAATGACACACTTCAACTTAAGCTTGTTTTCTGTGCCATGGAATCAGTACCTTGTTTGATGGCTTGTGTGCCTTGGGCTGTAGAGTTAATTTCTTCGTGCGTTTTGATGTTTTTAACTAGTGTAGTGCAGGAATGACTAAGATCAGAGGAGGTAAGTTGTAATGACCCTGCATTTACATAAGTGTGCTGAATTGATGATGTGGTCGACATGTGCTGTATGATAAGCTCGTATCTGTGTGTGGTAGGTCATAAAGTCCTAAAGGCTCTACAATGGTCTCTGCTGGAACTCCAAGATCAGCTGCTCTACCAAAACCCTGAAACCAGAGCCATCTCTCAGGGAAAGACATGGGGAGCAAGCAGGTACCTAATTCTGCTTTTAAAATAAGTTGTATTACTAAAATGTTGATAGAAATTTAACTTTGTGTGTGAACTACCCCTTAAAAAACTATTATTAACAAAAATCTATCTATGGTATTCTTCAGATTACTTTGGAGTACTATATAACTGTGCTGTATTCATTGTTAAATATCTTGTAATGTAAATTAACTATAGTTCCAATTTTTATGACATACTGCCTCATTCTTTTTTTTCTTCCCACAAATGGAAATTGTGAATTATCAATGGAAATTAATCAGAAATTATTTTTGCATTGCTTTCTACATGACAGTTGTCTAAACTCGATAAGTGTTCAATTTCCTTATTTAAATCTCTGTTTTCACATGCAGCAGTGTTAAAGATAATGAAGAGATTAACAGTGAGGATGATATGGAAACTGGGGATGATGGCCAAGTGGAAGAACAGGAAGCAGTGCGAAATGGACCCCCCAAACGAAAACTGGAAATGGCAGAGTATCCCAACTTTATGGCCAAACGATTTGCTGCTTTTCTGCCTTACCGTGATGCCACCCTGCAGAAATGGTACGACAAGACGCGACTCACAACAGGCAAGAGCAAAAAGGTAAAAAAAACAAAAAAAACACTCCAAAATCTTGTGGAAAGCCTTCCCAGAAGAGTCGAAGCTGTTGTTGCTGCAAAGGGATGTCTAACTTAAAATCAATGCCTATGTATTTAGAAGGCAATGTCATTAAAGTCCAAGTTGGTGTAATGCTCAGGTGTCCCAAAACTAATTATTATATTATATTATATTATATTATATTATATTATATTATATTATATTATATTATAAAAAATATTACCTAAAGCCACAGCAGAATTGCTCCGAGCAACACGGCAGAATGAATCCGCGTTTTGAACGAATCGGGTGAATCAATGATTCAGAAGCCCATTCATAAAAGTGAGCCGTTTACTGAATTCCGGAATGAATCAGCCGTTTGAACGAATCGAATGAATGAATGGACTCATAAAGACATTTACCGCTACCTGCTGGCAGTATTAGTTTCTTATTTTGAGTATTATTGTATTACTTCATTAGGGAAAAAGGATAGTTCACACAAAACATGTTATTGTCATCATTTACTCAAACCTGAATGACTTTTGTGGAACATAAAAAAAGGTATTTTGAAGATGGTTGGTATAACAAAGCTGTTTTGGTTACCAGTGACTTTCATTGCATAAACGAAAAAAATTGAGATGTTATCTTCTTCTATGTTCCATTTATGTTAGGCCGTTGTAGCCTAAACGTTTATGTGTAATAAATGTTATGTTGAATCAAATAAAATATTTATTTCTAAAGCTACTATTTGTAATGTCTACTACTGAAGTAGGCGGGTGCTGAGTCTGTGGCTGTTCTATATACAAGCATCAATGTCTTGAACTTGATTCGAGCCGCGACCGGTAGCCTGTAGTTGTAAGAAAACCACATTGGCTATAGCGTTATAGCAGTGCAAAACACTTTTAGTTAATCAACCCAGCCATTTCAGTAGGCTATATATATATATACGTATATATATATATATATATATGTGTTGATTTAATTGTATCTGTTGATTTAATTGTAGTGTAAAGCTACTTTTAAAAGTAACATTCCCCATCATGCTAGAAGACTCGTTGAGCTCTCGCTCTGTTGTTTCAGGCAGCTGAACTGGCACTGAAAGCTAACGTACACCTTAAAGATCTGGACGAGGAGATTTTTGATGATGATGACTTTTACCACCAGGTAAGAAAACGGGCAGAATGAATTGTTATTGTGCAGGTACTTTGTCAACAACAATGCTGATGCTGTTGAGTAGTTATAAAGAAAGTAGTAGAGTTATGTGATGTCAGGGATCTCTTTCTCCTTTTTTCACAGCTACTTCGAGAGCTTATTGAGCGCAAAACAAGTGCGACAGACCCCAATGATCAAGTGGCCATGGGAAAGTGAGTGTGTGTATGTGCGTGTATATACATGTTTCATGTGTTGTTCACATTTGATCATAACTCAACCTCTGATCTCGCAGGCAGTGGCTTGCCATCCAGAAACTACGTAGTAAAATCAAGAAGAAGGTGGACACCAAAGCCAGCAAAGGCAGGAAGATCAGGTAAGCTGTTATTCTCCTAATAGAATCAAGATGTGTTCAGTATATACAGGTGAATCTCACAAAACCTGTCAATGACATGTCATATTTCCCCCTAAAAATTTAATTTAATTTAATTTTTATAATTAATTTGTCAGACAGGTTGATTCTCATTAATGAAAAACAGGCTTTTCGTTTAAACAAAATATTTTTTTTGTTGACATGCTTTGCAAAATTCTCTTATATCTACAGCAATTATTAGTATCGTTTTTAATGCTACAGCACAAGTATTGCAGTTCTTTCATGCAAGTATATTATAGTTAACTAAAACTAAATGCATAAAAACATGTTCGTCCCAAGTACTTTTTACTACTAGTTTTTACACAACTAAAAAAGTCAAAATAAAAATTAATAAAAACATACATTTAGATGTAAAAGAAAGCCAAAAAAAAAGAAAAGAAAAAGAAAAGTTACGTCATCTAATCAAATCAGTAAATCATCTGCTATTATATAGCAGCAAAAAATGTTATGCGTAGATTCATGGTATAACTGGAATGAGATGGGTTGTTTCCTTTGAATTAGCAGCAGAAATAATTTCTTATCAAACATCTCCTTTAATTGTGTGTTTGTCATGTAAATGAGTTCAGATTCAGTCAGGCTGTGTGTGCTCACAATGAAACGTCACAATTCAATTTTCAAGACTGTTTGTGTTTATACTTGTCATTCTTTCAAACTTCTTGTCAGGTTTCACGTTCACAGTAAGCTGATGAATTTCATGGCTCCAATAGATAACAGCAGCATGAGTGATGATGCCCGGTGAGTGATGTCTTATATTCTCATGTCTGATTTTCTCTATCTGCTGAAATATCAGAGCCAGACATCTGATCAAACACACAAGATGTATAGTTATCTAAAGGCATAGTTCACACAATAATGAGAATCTGTCACCATTTAAGGCTGATTTATACTTCTGCGTCGGACCTACGCCGTAGCCTTTACGCCGTAGGCTATTCGTCAGTTTTCATTTATACTTCTGCGCCGTTGTCCGCATCGACGTGCAGTACACATGCAAACCGCTAGTCTGCAGTGTCCACGGGCTGGTGTAACCCGCAGTACCACGGCAAAAGCCGAAGAAGAAGCGGCTCGTTGGAGAAGCATTATAGCCGTGACGGCAGCAAATAAATATCAAATCATTAAATCATTATTTAAAACTACAAAAAGTAGACCACAGCGGAACAGGAGAAGATGGCATACTTTCAATCTCCACAAGGACTTGTACCACGGCAGATCAACATTGTTTGTCGCGGACAACTACTGATGTATAATGCTATGTAGTATAGTAAATGATAAGACACTTGTTCTTTGCTTTGTTTTATTTTATATAAGAAGGTGTAACATTGAAATATATTAAAGTGCACATAAACACAAACAAAACTCAAGTACATACGGAGGGAGGGATTCTAGCAGACCAATCACAGCTCTTGCGGTCCGCGTAGAATTGATGCGCTGTTAGATTTTTGGAGAGGTGCACGTCAGGCTACGGTGTAGGCTATGGCTTAGGGTGTGCGTTTATGCGTAGGCTACGGCGTAGGTTCGACTCAGAAGTATAAATTGGGCTTAACTCATCTTAACGCTGTGGAACACGAGTTAGCAGAAAATCACAGCTGCTGTTTTCCATACAACAAAAGTAGATGTGGACACACAAAAAACCCCCAAAACAAATAAGCACCCAAAAAGCAGTTTACATTAATTGTGCGCTATATTCTAAGTATTCTGAAGCTATACAATAGTTACGCGATGAATAGACTGAACCTGTTATAATATTATATGTTATAACAGCTAGAATATTCTGCTAAATGTTCCATGGAAGAAAAAAAAAAGTTTGGAACAACAATGGTGAATAAATAACTTTCATTTTTTGGGTGACTTGTCCTTTTAACTATCAAAGCATCTTGAGTAAGTATATGATTTGAGTGGGCTTTTTATGCCGTGGGGACCCCAGCAGGAAGTTGTAGATGTGTGCGTGTGCATCTGTTTAATTAATGGTTCAGTTGTGTGTTTCTCTGTCCTGTCAGCCAGCAGTAATCCTCCTCAAACAGAGAACAGGCTAATCAAACACACTGTGGAGATATGCACATACACAAACACTCACACATTTCAAAGATTTCACTTTTAATCCCCCTTCTCATTTTTTTTCTTTTGTTTTGTTTTCCATTGGTTCCACAAAGAGAGTTGTGCATATCAGGTGTTTACTAGCTACATTTTTTTTATTGCCACATGAGTGATCAAAATATAATGTATTCATATTAAACAACATACATACACTACCGTTCAAAAGTAAGATTATTATTATTATTTTTTTTTTTCGAAAGAAATTTATACTTTTATTCTGCAAGGACAAATTATATTGATCAAAATTGAAAGTAAAGACATTAATAATATAAAAATGTTTACAAAATAAACACTTTTTTGAACTGTTTATTTATCAAAGAATCCTGAAAAAATGTATCACGGTTTCCACAAAAATATTAAGCAGCACAACTGTTGTCAACATTGATGATTTAAGAATCATCCTAAAGGTTACAGGAATATATAGTGGAGTACACAAACAAAAATACCTTAAAGGTGTCATGACATGGATTTTGTATTTTAATATGTTCCTTGAGATTTACTTATAATATTAAGTTTTTTTGCACAAAAAAAAAGAAATATGTGAAAAAATTATTATTTTCGACCCTCATTCTGAACCTCTCTCTAAAATGACCTGTTTTTAAAGGGCGTGTGCTTTAAAGGGGTCATATGATGCTGCTAAAAATAACATTATTTTGTGTATTTGGTGTAATGAAATGTGTTTATGCCGTTTCTTCTCAGTAATCAGACACTGTTATGATTGGCTAACATCATTGCATAGGAAACAGTATCAATGCCCCCTCACTATTGCATGTGTTTTGACAACATAATCAAAATAAAACCGTCATTTCCAGACGAAGCATTATTAAATCATTTACTTATGGTTTGAGATGTCAGATATAGTACCGTTTCATCTTTCAACAAATGTTTCTTTGTGAACTCTCCATCACACTGTGCCTCGTTTACAAAACAAAATGCTCCTATCAATCCTCTGACACGATAAAAATAAACTATCCACTTGTTCATTACGCTGGGATCCTTCTGATATCTGTACAAAGATGCAAATGAGCTGTTTAAACCAAACGTGTCAAAGCGAACGTTCTTTCAGTCCATTTGTCCTTTTGATGATAGACACTAGTGTGTGGACTGTGTCAGAAAGCGAATGCGCATCTGTATACAGGTGCATCTCAAAAAATTACAATATCGTGAAAGTTATTTTTTTTGTAACTTGTTTCATATATTCTAGATTCATTACATGTAAAGTAAAACATTTCAAAAGTTTTTTTTTTATTTTAAATTTTGATGACTAGAGCTTACAGCTCATGAAAGTCAAAAATCCAGTATCTCAAAATATTAGAATATTTACATTTGATTTTCTCTTGTTCTGTGAAACCACAATAATGGGGAAGACTGTTGACTTGGCAATGGTCCAGAAGACAATCATTGACACCCTCCAAAACGAGGGTAAGTCACAGAAGGTCATTAATGAAACAGAGTGCTGTATCAAAGCATATTAAATGCAAAGTTGACTGGAAGGAAGAAATTCGGTAGGAAAAGGTGCACAAGCAACTGGGATGACCGCAAGCTTGAGAATACTGTCAAGCAAAGCTGATTCAAACACTTGGGAGAGCTTCACAAGGAGTGGACTGAAGCTGGAGTCAGTGCATCAAGAGTCACCACGCTCAGATGTCTTCAAGAAAAGGGCTACCAAGCCACTTCTGAAATAGAAACAATGTCAGAAGCATCTTACCTGGGCTAAGGAGAAAAAGAACTGGACTGTTGCTCAGTGGTCCAAAGTCCTCTTTTCAGTTAAAAGTACATTTTGCATTTCATTTGGAAATCAAGGTCTGGAGTCTGGAGGAAGACTGGAGAGGCACAGAATCCCAGCTGCTTGAAGTCCAGTGTGATGTTTCCGAAGTCAGTGATGATTTGGGGTGAAGTGACGTCTGCTGGTGTTGGTCTATTGTGTTTTATCAAGTCCAAAGTCAATGTAGCAGTCTACCAGGAGATTTTGGAGCACTTTATGCTTCCATCTGCTGACTAGCTTTATGGAGATGCGGTTTGCTGACCATGATATTACTGTGCTTGATTGGCCAGCCAAAATGCCTGACCTGAACCCCATATGGAATGGGATATTTTCAAGAGAAAGATTTTCAAGAGAAGAAACCGTTGATCCAACAAAACAGATGAGCAGAAGGCTCAATAGTGCCTCAGCAGTGCCACAGACTGATCGCTTCCATGCCACACCTCACTGATGCTGTCATTTGTGCTAAAAGAACCCCGACCAAGTATTGAGTGCATAAATGAACATACTTTAAAGAACTCGAACTTTTCTGTTTTGCAAATCCTTTTTTTGATTGATCTAAGGAAATATTCGAATATTTTGAGATACTGGATGTTTAACTTTAAGTTGTAAGCTCTAATCATCAAAATGAAAAAAAAAATGTTTTACTTTACATGTAATGAATCTAGAATATATGAAAGTTTCACTTTTTGAAATAAGTTACAAAAAACTATCCAGTGTAGACAAGATAGCAGCAGTGATTGTAATTTCTGTTTGCTTTTGACGCAACGCGACACATTCAGTGTAATCAAGTGTCAAGCAGTTAAGCAGCTGAATGCCAGTGGGCGGGGCCTATGATGAGAAGAAGACTATTCGTTGATGTCTTGCTCTGGAGGCAGCGTTTATGCAAATGACCGTGCCCAGGTGATGTTACCTTGCCCCTCGGATCCAAAATAAGCCATATTTGGAGCTTGATTAAATAAATGCTTTGTTTATAATGAGGAGGACGTTTTAAGCTATGAAACTTGCAGGATGTTTTAATGTACAAAGACCTCTTATATGGCAAAAGATCAAGGCAAATTTGATTTCTTATGTCATGACCCCTTTAAAACAACCCTGCAGTCAAAACTTTTATTTATTTTATTATTTCAGGCACTGGTCAATTTTGAGATTTTGGGCTATTTTGCTTTCATAAATTGTCCTCTTTCACACTAGTGGTATATAAGCGCCTCCAGGGTATCTTTAGGGCCAAGGCAAAGCGCGATCGTGATGCATACTACTAGTCCCTAGCTAACGAGGCAGAGGATGGGCTACATCAGGCGGGGCTGACCCCGTTGCTAGCTATGACACAGTCTTTTGAATAATGTGATTGGTTGGTTGTCTAAGAAGGAAATAAAAGAGCGCTTTTAAGGTTAGGGTCTATTATAAGCCTTCACTTTGAAATTACAGGCGTAATTTTTCCTGTTTTACCACACACACACACGCACGTACACACACACTCATTATATATGTGTATATATATTCTTTATTTTTTATTTACCATGCTGTCATACTTGACATATTTTATAGGAAATGAACAGCGACACAATAAGGTTCTAAAAGTTCTGTAATTGTTTGTGTGATCACTTTGCTTATAGAAGGTTGTGACAGACCCAAATCATCACTGCTGCATAGTTGTATTTTTCCAGTTGCCAAATATGTTAATGTAGTTAATGTAGTGATTTACTTCCATTTCTGGTGCTATGGCATTTCTGCGCGGTGTCGGAGATGTTAGCGTGTCTCTAATAAGATCGGTCACAAACATGATCCCTGCACCATCTAATGTGTAGCGTCTTATTAACTCACCCGGGGCAGATCAACAACATGCCATCCTCGCCCTTAGGCTCTTATCAGAAATACATTG